CGACACAAGCTTAAACTTTTGCCAGAAGTCACAGCTTTGTTGAACAAGAACAACCTGAGAGACACTATCGTGGACCCTGAAGTGAACTTGCTTGAGTCGGTGCGCTTTTTCCTAGAACCCCTGAGCGATGGCAGTCTTCCCGCGTACGATATCCAAAAAGAGCTCTTCGCTTCATTGGCGAAACTACCCGTTAACAAGGACACACTTGTCGCATCTGGTATCGGGAAGGTGATTATGTTCTACATTAAGAGTAAGAGGCCTGAGTTGTCCATTAAGCGACAGGCTGAGCGGCTCTTCACCGACTGGACCCGCCCCATTCTTAGGCGAACAGACGACTACCGCAAGAAGGAATTTGCCCAGGCCGACTATGACCCAAGGTATGTCTCTGTCTTTATAGTTGATCATATGTGTGCTAATGTTTTTGCAGCCAAATCAACACCGGCGACAGGACTGTCAACAGCCAACAAGCCGCCATTGCTGCCAGCCGAAAGAAGGCCCTCGAAGCCCCTCGTGCTTTCCAACGTGCTCGCATGGAGTCTGGACCAACTACCTACACCATTGCACCAAAGAGCAATGTTGTGTTCAACGAGAATGCCCGAAGTCGTTCGACCAATGTGGATATCATGAAGCAGATCAAGGGAGGTCGCGGTGGTGGCAGGCGCTGAGCTAGTATCGTGCCAGGCAGACACTGTCTCTCGGACACCTTTTTCTTTTCTCTTCTTGCCAGCCTTAACTTTGTATTACAGCTATAGCCTTGACGTGGAAGGGATATTTGCCAGTAGTTTCACATGCGCGACTTGGGGGTCATATGGGAGAATGCATAGCGGGCGTTACTCTGCGCATTTAGGATTATTTATGAGATTGGGTCAGCTTTTCCTTGAAAAGCTTATACTGTACACTATGTATCCAATGTATTCATGTTTTAATCGCTGATTGCTGAGTTTGTAACCTCGTTTCAATATCTCTATTGGCATTTTAATCCCTGAACCTCTGGAAACAAAAAAATACAAGCTAATCCCACATAAACTCAATTATTACTCTCAAAATAATATACACAAGAACCATATCAAACCCCCCTTCAGCCTTCCATCTCACGCCCCAAACCCATCAATCCTAAACACATTCACCGTATCAACAAACGTACTATTATTCTCAGCCGCACCCGCAACCTGCACCCCATCCCGCGTAATCATCTGCGTACTCCCCACCGTGTTCAAGTTATAAAAACTAATATCATATGTCTGCGTCGCGCCCTCAATACTTAGAATCCGCTGCTGACACGCCGTCGGAGCATCGACACGCGAGCAATTCGTGCTGTAGTTATTGAAGAAGGAGTAGAGACCGATGCCGTAGCCGAGGATGTTGTTGCTGCGGATGATACGGAGGCCCCAGCCGGAGACTGTATTAGGGCTTGGGGCGGTGGAGTTGGATGAGGGGGATGTGGCGTTGGAAGGGGTTTCGAACAAAGGGATTAGAGTGGAAGGAGGGGCAGAGGGATCCTCCGAGGAGAAGACGGGGTCGGAGAGAGAGGGATTTACGGGGAAGGGGATGGTGGCGTTAGGGTTGGGTTGGAAGTATGCTGTTTCTGTTTGGATTTGGCCCATGAAGATGTTGCGGGTGTCGACGAATTGGTATTGATAAAGGGTGTGGTGTTCGACTGATGTGCCGTAGCTATTTTTCATCAACGTTAGTTTTTCTCTTCTTGGTGATGGATGGGGGATGGGAAAGGGGAACTTACAGCCATAGTCGTCCGTTGATGCTTTCAACGAGGAGTCCCCGGCCGGCGTAGAGAGTGAGTTGGGCTTCACCGCGGACATCGAGCTCATGGTCGGCGGTCCAAAGCCAATTGTTTTCCATGTACAACCCAGCACCAAACTTTGTTACGTGCATTGTCATGTATGAAGCGATGCAGTCCTGGTCCAGATTGCCTTCGGTAATCGTCACATTACTAGGAGTCCTCTCACACTGTGCAGTTTGCAGTTCTGATCCTGCAAAGCCGCCAATACGGGCGTGCACATCCCAGAGACCGGCTGGCTCCTGGTCATATGTACCGAGATTGTACTCGTAAAGTATGGCACCTGCTTGCTGGCCTTGCGTACTGACGATCAGGTCTGAGATCTCGACTCGACCAGTTTCACCTGGGAGAGCGATTCTCACAACAGGTTGGGGCTCTTCCATTGAGTTGAAAAAAGGACCAGAAGAAAGAATGACAGCAGTAATCGGTTCGCCTACAATGATAGAGCCAGGAGGTATGTAAATGGTCGATGTGACCTTGTAGTATCCCGCATCAAGAAACAGAATCTTGCCTTCTTCTTTGGCTTTCAGAATAGCAGCGTTCAGAGCGGCGGTATCATCCGTACGACCGTTTCCAGTAGCACCGAGATCGCGAGCACTGAGGAACTGAGACAGGGGTATGTCTCCATAATGAGGTTTCGAGCGCTCGTAAAACTTTCCTTGAGCATCCACCAAGTCAGCTGGTCGCTGCGTAGGCTCGATACGACCACGTGCAATATCGGGGCCGCCATAAGAAGTATAACGGTGCCCATCAGCCCAAGCATCGACTACCACGGAACCGGAAGATCCTGCGAGATAGGTTCCATTGGGGCCGACTACAGCAGCCTGTACGTTGTCAAACTTGACGTTTTCCAGATACAGGGCTCCAGCAGCAGCGGGCTGAGAACTATCGGTCCTGGCAGTAGCAATGCCAATCTCTGTGTTCTTGATTTCGCTGTCGAAAAATGTAATGGATCCTATACTCTGTGATGAAGAACCCCCGGAAGAGACATTCAATCCAACACGACAGTTGTTAATAGACACAGACTTGTATGTCCAGCCCCAGTCCCAAAACATCTCAATAGCAGTGTCGATATTGTTGAATGTAAGGTTGCGGGTAGTGAACTGCTGGTTTCCAACTAGGAAGCCGCGACGCCCTCCATTGAACACCAAATCACTCATGAAACCTCCGGAACCCGAGTCGATAAGAAGACCAATGTGCGTTGTTCCATTGTTGGGATTCATGTTAAACACGACATTTTGGATACTAGTTGCCTGTGCAGTTGGCCAGTAGATTGAGACAGCTGAGAAGTTGGTGGGTAGTCTTGTAGTGTCGATGATGATATTGCGGATCTGGCGGTAGAAAGAGACGGTAGATCCGTAGCCAGAACCATCAAGGATCGCTGTTCCGCCAAGAGAAGAAAAGTTGGCAGCAGCAAGGATGGTAGGGAGACAGTTGGGGTTTCCAACAATCTGGGGTTGTCAGTCAATTTCGATCTCGATAAATGGTCTTAGGCGTCATACTTGCGTGTTGTAATAGTTTTTAATGGCGTCAGATATCAAGTATGTTCCACCTGGAAAATACAAGACAGCCGGTGTGTTGGTAGAACTCGAGCAATTGCCAGGCACACATCGGTTGCCGTCTGTAATAGCTCGGTTGATAGCCGCGGTGTCGTCCATAACGCCATCGCCAACTGCACCGTAGGACTTGACATTCCTAAAGACAGTATAGTTGTTTGGGTTTGGGTTGAAGCTAGCAATGCCCTGATGTTTAATGTTTTCCATCCAGTATGGAGCACAATTGGATTCAGAGACAGTATGCTGGCGAGGCTTTACATGTGGATGGGCGAGGGACTCCGCGCGAGCGGAGATGTCGGCAGGTTCGTGAGCATAGCGAGCATTGTGCGCGAGTGCGCATGTCGTGTACAAGCCGAGTACGATGACCGTTGGATTAAACATTTCTAAACACTGAAACAACAAGTAAAAGAGTGACAAGAAGAACAGTTTATGTAGACTCGTAAGATGACGAGGCTTACTCTATCTATACGAGCCGTGCATCTAGTGCAAGGAGACTTTACGCCAAAGAGTACCCCAGGGCATACCGGTTAGCGTTATGAACCCGAGCAGAATATAAGCCGGGGTGTGAAGATCATGCCTATCTGTGCAATTATTCAATAACCCAAGAGAAATTTGTGGGCGCAGAATGGTCTATTCGGGCTTGGTGTTGTGCAGGATGGCCGCGGGTATGTCAACGACATGTCTTTGCGGCTTGCCACAGCTGATCCCTGTTGAGGGTGGGATGACAATCGAGGCCAGTTAGGTTCAGACCTTAAACCGACCCTTCAAAACATGCCAAGATTTGTTTGAGGGTCACTGAACATAGGAGAGTGGTTGTGTCTGTTAGTATGTAATGTAATGATGATCGCCTCATGGGTTGCAGTTAACTTTAGTCCGTTGTCTTGCCTATAGCATAGTAGTACCCATTACGCGACGCGCATACCAAATCAAGATGCCTCCATCGCCAGTGGGAAACCAACAGAATACAGACGGCTAGTACCAATTCCTTGTTGTCCAGTTGATCACTCTTGTCACCCGGTTTGGATTCGATTGGGAAGCATGCTAACAAAACTAGCGGACGCGAAACTATCAGCAGACAGGGGCAGTAGAGCGCCATAGAGGCGGTCCGATCTGACTGAGATTACATTTCTTTTCACGAATTTTGCGCCGCATCCGAGATGACCTCTGACACAGACGACTCGCTTTATAGACCTAGAGAAGAAAAGTGCATACTGTTTATGAAAGACGCACTTGCTTGAGCGTTTTCTATTGCTGTTGTACGATTGGGCTCCGTAAGCATCTCTGCTTTCTGCAGGGCAGCGGTAGACAGCAATTCAACCTGCATATGGCAGATCAAAGGATTCAACTGTAGATAAGTTCCTGTCGATCATGCAAGCCAGGGCGAGCAGATCCTCAAGAGAAGCAAACAAGTCGGTTATGCAAAGCATCGTGAACGGATGTATGTGTGCACGTGACATCCTGACCGCATCGGCAGCATCCGGCGCCAAAACGCCGACTACTCCAAACTTTTGCATATCAAAGTGCCCGCTGTGAACGTCATCTACGAGCTCCGCCTTCTCAAGTCAAACTCTGAACACACAACTCTCTCGGATCCACCCACGTAGCAACCATGTTTGGAGGTTAGTCAAACCCTATCTGGGATGTAAGAGGGAGAGAGGAGGACGGATTCTCGGAGTGGATTGTGGCTGACAATGGATGTAGCACCACCACAGCCTTCTAAGCAGGAGCTTGCCGCGGCAGAGGCGCAGACCATGTCCGATATCAAGTGGACGGCAGCTAGCGCTGTTGTCTTGTACTTTTGTAAGCAAATCTCTCCAGAGCTGCGCAAGTGTACTTTGGGCTAATCATCAGCAGCGCCGCATCTCGTCGAATACGTCTCCAAGTTCTTCTAAGCGGAACGAACCTACTGTCACATACTGTACCTGCCTACACGCCGATAATTTGTGGGCGAGAGGAGTGTGATGTCGAAACGAACGGCAGCTGTATCATATACGCGCATGTAGTCAAAGATGCGCTTGTAACAATACCAAGGCACACGAGTTGCCTGACGGAAAACGCTGGTCACCGAGTGTAATGATATCCCGAATGCAAGAGTTTCCATTGTTTCGTGGTTCTTTCCAAGATGGGCATTGCAAGACAAAGTGTACAGAATGGTAGCAATGCCCCCGGGACGCTAAGACTATTATCGGTTTCTATGCATCCGTCGCTTGGTATCTCACAACGCCCAACTTTTTGACAATATAAAACCCCGCATCTCTAGTGAATCATACATGCTCAAAGCGCCAAAGTACATTATGAAATTACCGCTTCGCTGGCCTTGCCTGCTTTGATACTTCCCACTCGTCGTACTCTTCCTTGGTATCATCAACCCATTTCTTGAGGTGCTCGAGTTGACGGTCGTAATCTTTCAGGAGCTGGAGGATAACGTTAGCTTGTGGTCTAGTATCTGATAGTAGTTGGTATCTCACCTTCTCCAGTGCCTTCTGGTCTTCCTCTGAAAGAAGCTCGCCGTTCTGTTGCTTGTCCATGGTCCTACCCAGCTTCTCTGTTTCCTCTTGTAGTATCCGCGCACGCTCACGTACGCTAGACATGCGCGCCCAAATCTCCTCTTGCCGACCTCCGAGTACGGGGTCAAAGGTCTGTTTCTCCAGCTCAATCAACTTCTTCTTCAAATCCTCCTCCTGTGGGTCCATGACGTATCCTCGGTTTCGCAAGATTTGCACCTTGGTCGCGAGGGCCAGTGTTCGCTGGGTAAAGACAATGTGCTTGCGCTTGGCTTCGGTGATGCGCGACGCTACCGTCAGCTCATGTGCGTCCTTGAGCAACGAGAGACTGTTGTTGATTTCATGAAGACGTGTGCGCAGCGCGGTGACGGCCGCAGCTTGCTGCCGTATGCGCTCTCCGACTTGCTCGAAACCACGCGCCAGGACCGGGATGGCGCCTGGGCTCGGTTTCTTCGAGAGGGCTTCCTCCCATTTCCGTTCATCTTCCCCTTGCGAGGGCCCGTAGAAAGGCGCTTCTTCTGGCTTGACAGAGTTGTAGAAGTAAAACTGGAATACGCATTCCGGGTTCTCTGGGTCCCACTTGTTATTGAGGATTCGTATCTGTTCGACGACCGACTTTTCTCTGTGACCGCTCATGGTAGAGCCAGCGAAGGGCTGTGCTGAAGACTGGCGCAGCTGGGGGAGTCCTTCGCGCTGCTGTTGGATGCTTTGCGCCTGCACGCTGTTTAGAATAGGGGCAGGCTGGAGCGAGGCGCCAAAGAGACTGTTGCTCATGTTGGGCTGCTGTTGTTGCGCCTGCTGCTGGTGCTGCTGGGGCTGACTGAACAAGCTCGCACCGGCATTTTGTTGTTGCTGTGGTTGGCCAAACAAACTTGAGCCCGTGGTCTGCTGTTGCTGCGGTTGTGTCGAGCCAAATAAGCTCGTGGTATTGTTCTGGGCCGGCGCCGCAGAACCAAACAGACCCCCGCCCATGTTGCTCGACTGCTGAGGTTGCTGTTGCTGCTGCTGCGATTGACCAAAGAGACCGCCAGCTGGTGCTGTAGTGCTTCCAAACAACGTGCCCGTCTTCTTTTCTCCTCCGCCAATATTTCCAAAGCTAAAAGACATGTTGAAGAGAATGCGCGCTGTGCGGATGTTTATTCAAGCTTGCTCGTAAAGTAAGGAAACGAATGACGGTGTCTTCAAGTCGCGGACTGTCAGGCGCTGGGTTGTTTGTTTCCGGTCGCGGTAGGAAACGCGAACGGAGCCTCGTAGAGATGCTGGCGATAGAGACAGGTACTGTGTAGTTCAATGGGTGTGCATTCCGGCCGATGAACTGTGTACGAGGCGACGCAAAAGTGCAGTTGAGATGCAGGCGCGAGAGTGAAGAGAGATTGTTGTCTCTGCTTGACAAAGGTTCAGGCACAGGCGGCGGCCCCATCACATCCCTGCCAGTTTTAGTGAAGTGCCAAGCCGACATCCGCGACGACCTGGCTACCATCATCTTCAATTCCCAAGTCGATAGTCCGCCATTGGCACCCACCCGCCACCATGTCGTCGCGCCAGCCCAGGTAAATGCGTCCTCTGTAATCGCCTATAAGCTTCACAGCCTAATTATCCCATCCAGGTTCAACCAGCAAGCCCTCATCGACACAACTCCTCTGCCTGACGACATCCCCAAGGTCCAAGAGCTCGGAGCCAGTTCTGCGCCCCTCCTCAGTGCCTCGTACTTTATTGGTGCGCGCTGCAAGCCCTTCAACGATGACTACATGATGTGCAAGACCGAGGCCAACGGCCGGGGTGAATTCGAGTGCATGAAGGAGGGCCGCAAGGTCACCAGGTGTGCCGCGAGCGTGTGCGTACTGGAGCTGTAGTTGTAGGACGAAGCGGGTGCTGACACATGCGCCAGTATCAAGGACATCAACGAGAACTGCCTGAGTCAGTTCCGCACCCACTGGCAGTGTCTTGAGAACCACAACCAGCAACTCTGGAACTGCCGGTCGGAAGAGCGCAAGCTGAACAAGTGTGTGTTTGACAAGCTGGTACGTCTGGAAAATTTCCCCTGCAACCCTGTGTACTCATTTCCTGCAGAAATTGGAGAAGACGATACCAGATACGCCCAAGGGAGAGACACCAGTCCACCTGCGTACACGCAACATCTTTGCAACCCACTAACTGCTGTATATGTACCGCTGGGAGCAAGCAAAAGGGAAAAATCAAGAATACCAATTCAAACGTATGGCTGTGACGATATACACCAAGATTCTTTTGCATTGTGAAGAAACGAGTAATTTACCATGATCAAATACTATGTCCCAGGCTCATCCTTATGACTACCATTCTGTCGCCATTACCACAGTATTTGAAGAGCTCAGCATCACTATACATTTATCTCTTTATCACATAGCCACATAGCCACATTAGCTGGTTTCTTTATATTTCATCGCTTCTGATATACATTCTCGACATTGCCCTAATTTCCCTTACTCAAATGATCGCATCTCCAACTCGTCCCAATAAACTACCGTTGTAGACATTCTAAAAGCCAGACTTGACAAATCTGCAAAAGTCGTAACTCCTTACAGGTGTTCACTATCGACATCACGCGGATCCCAATCAAGCCCATATGACTCTCATAGTCCCCAACTCTTATGGTCCATCAACCAAAATCAACACCCAGCCTCCAGCAGGCTAGAAAGCGACTTGAGGCCCCCCGATTACTGAATTCTGCAACACACACATGACCCTCCTTTTCAGTTTGCACACTGTCAACGTTAAAACAGTTAGATACTACTCGCTATATAAACTGTGCTCTAGTCTGTTCTCTATTCAAGCTCCTATGCACTGCGACATGCTCCTCATCCGAAATCCCATGCAGAGGAAGTAGTCGCAACAGGAAGGGCCAGTTATGGGGTGTGTAGTTGAGGGTTTAGGTGGGAACTTCAGGATTTTTAGGACAAGAAGGAGGTAAGAATACTGGACAGACTGTAGAATGCTATCATGGATGATATAGTAGAGGCTCTTGTTGTCAGGTTCTGTAGGCAGAATATACACTCTATTGGAATGGTCTACGACGAGACGAGACATTTACTGTATCTCTCTCCATGATTGTGAATGTATTGAATAGGACGTCTAAGTTCATATAGATAACAATATTATTTGTGATAGATACTGTAGATATCTTGACATTTGATATCTATGAGCCACTCATAGTATTCTACACATGTTTTCTACTCATTAACACCGCGGTACAGTCTCGCACCGCTCCTGGGTATCTATACAATACAAACTCATCAATCATCACACCGCCACATCAAGCCCTCCATCCGGCACCACCTCCACCTCCACCCCCACTACTCCCACCACCCCTTGCAGCGCCCAAGAAGCGATCTCGCAATGACCCCCTATTAGCCGCCGCATTCCCAGCGGGCGAACTCCTCAAAAATGAGCTTCCATCAAGAAACGAGCTACTCCCATCCATCCCAAAACTACTCCTTCCATTCCCCAGATCAACACCCAGACTAACTCGCCCAGCCGTCGGATGCGCACCTAACGTCATCCCCCCAGGCAACCCCGAGCTACGACGCCCAGAACTGCGTCTCCCACTGGAGCGCCGCCTCCTCGTCGAGCGCCGCGACCGCGCCGATACAAGCCCCGTCGGCAGCGCCGAATTATCCAAGTCGCTTGAATCCTCGAGTTCCGAATCCGTATGCTCGTAGCTTCCAGCTTCGGGGACATCGTCGTCAAGATCGCGTTCGTCTTGGAGGACGCCTGCCATTTCCGCCTCTTCCATCTCGAGCATGTGGGAGACTTCTGCTTCCATCATGCTGCCTTCGATGAAGCTGTCTTCGTTAAAGGGGACGGTGCTCTCTTCCTGTGCGTCGCCGCTGATTTCGCTACCTTGTTCTTCTCGTTCGTCTTCCGAGTCGCTGCCGCTGTTGCTGTTGCTGCTGCTAGCGGCGCCTGAGGAGGATTCGCTCATGCTTTCTTCGGCTTCGGGGACTTCGTCGTCGAGGTCTCGTTCTTCTTCGCCTATACCGGCTTCTTCTTCCATTTCGCCACGCTCACGTTGCTCTTCGTTTGCAGCTTCTTGTTGCGCGGCGGCCAGATCCATCATTACTTGTTCGCGGCGCTGCATCATTTCTTGTTCCTCTTTCTCGAGCTCCTCGTCTTTGAGGGCTTGGAGGGTTTTCGATACGCCCGGGGGACGCAGCCATCCTGCGCCGAAACGACGGACGTTGAGTTTCCGATGGGCAATGGTGTTTTCGTCGGCTGTGAGGCTTGACAGCAGCAGGTTTTGGTTGTGGTGGGGTGTGTGGTGCGAGTTTGAGCGTCGTTGGTTGTGCGACGTGTTAGGCGGGGACTGTGACTGCGTGTCTTCAAATGCTGCATGTGTATTGTGGAGGGAGGGCCACAGACTGGCGTCCTGTTTATTGTGTTAGTCTTTTATTCTCTATATTCGACATGCTTCTCAAAGATGTTGCGGCTGGTTGCAGCATCGAACATCTGAACACAAAAAGTAGGAAACACTTACTGGACGCGGCGCAATCATAGGTAGGGAAAACATTTTGAGTGATGTGTAAACCTCAAGAGCGCGCTCCAGGAGAAGCAGACGATCAAGTCAAGGAGCATCGATTGTGGCGGTTGGTCGCGTTACAACGCGTTGTTTGGTGTTGATCGTACTCGAGGTGAGCGCATGGCCCCACCTCGGTTCGTCCTGAAGAAGGAAGGCATCCGCCGTGTACGTTCACGGTTCACGTTCACCCCACTACACTTCTCTACTTCTTTATGTGCTCGTCAAATAACTTAACTACGTGTAATTTATAGGTCCAATAGGTACACGACAAACTTAGAGAATATGTTGATTGTCTGATACTTTAATATTCTAGTCCAACGTGATGTCTCTCGTTCATCAACTTCATCCATACACATGTCTCAGACATCTGGTAACATGCCATAAGTTTCCACATAGCAACTCTCTGAACTCTCTAGCAACATTAAACCCATATCTCACAACTGCAGAAACAAATCGAGATCCTTCTAACCTTACTACCTCCATCCCTGCACTCCATCATGTGAACATATCAACTAAAGTACACTTGACGCCATCCCTCACCCACGTGCTCCCCCATCACAAGACCAACCGCATATGCCCTCCCAAAGAGAGGGAAAAAAGTCTCCTCCTCCAAATTTCCCACACCGCCGCAATATCTGGCTCCGGAATAGTCGACCCAATCTCCCACCTACCATGCTAAAACCCGCATTCCACACACGCACTCTCTCTACCCCCATCCTCACCGGACATTATTCCTACTAAAGAAAAACAAAGTAAACAAAATATGCACTTGGTAGCCCTACTTACTATCCCTCTCTTCCCTCTGATTCCCCCACGAAATAAGTAAAAGTAAGCTTGCATAACCCTATCCCTTTGGCGAAATCTGCATCCGTAAAGAAAAAGTACCTCACACCGCATGATCCCCAAAAGCAAAAGTGCTTCAAAGTACCCAAACGCGGAAGTTTCCCTGTTAGGAAGTGGGAAATATGTTTTGCTTTTTGCCTTACCGGTGACTGCTTAAACATATTGTTTTCTCTTTGCTCTTAGCCTCTCTGTGCTTTACGCAGTCTCTACATGAGGGCGATTTATTTTCGTTCGGTGGCTAAATGGGGTATAGTGGGTTTGTCGATTTGACGAAGGGGGAAAAGCAAATATTCCAGTAACACAGAAGGGAAAAAGCAAAGAAGGAAGTGGGAGGTTGTATCACACCGCCATATCTACGCGCCCTTCATTGTTTCTGAAGTTCCGGGTTCAGTATTTGTTTTGTAAGATGTCGCTGAACGGATGGTGCTTCTGGAAGTCGGTCTGGGGGAAGGGGGGGGGGAGTATTCTTCGTTGTACCGGTTTTTTGTCTTGCTTTTCCCTTGTTTTCTTTGTTTTAACGGGGGGAAAGGCAGGCAGGTGTTACTTTTCTGGGTTTGGGTTTGGTTTGCGGTTTGTTTTACATCATATTTACCGTACTTCTTTTTTTTCTCTATCACGACATCCGGTGTCTCTGACTGCCTCATTGAATCACGGACCCGACTGCGGATGCATGGAAAAGGGCAAGTTTGTGCGTGCCAGTGCTGACGCGGGTGTCAGATGCTGAGACGGGATTATGCGGATGAGCGGTATAGGGGGTTTGGGCAGAGAGAAAGGGAGAAAAAGGAAGAGGGACCAGGTCGGCGAGTTGCAGAGGCAGATGCGAGACCTGTGCAGAGTGTTTGGACATCGTGACTAGAGCATATGTCTGGGTGCGGGAATGTATTCCGGAAATTGGGGTCTAAGAGAGCAGGACGAGGGACGAAGCTATGGCGATATGCATTGGCGCGTGACGCGTATGGTGGTCCATACTGTATAAGCTTAAACAGCATAGTGTCTATTTGTCCTTTCGGGCAAAGGGAAGGATTCCGATATCTCGTGCACCTGTCATCTGTGCCCATGAGTGTTCTACATGCTTCTTCTATTCTTCTCTACGGTAATATCCGATCCCTATCATGGCGGCAGATCAGCTTTTCGTCATGCTTCTTTTCTTAGCCCAAGCATGTGGGCTCCGAGGACCATGGGTCGGGAAGTTGGGGTGAGAGGATGGAATGCGACTATCTAAATAGATTAGTTTTTCTTCTTTTTATCACATGGCCTTGGAAATGCTACATTATCACGTCTTCACGTGAACGTTGTTGTAATGTAACCATGCACGTAGATTTCAGTAGTTACTAAGTGATGGGACCATCGGATGAGGCAGAGAATTACCACAGTCATGTACCACTGTACTGATCGTATGTCTAGTTGAGCCCCTTAGTGCATCTAGTGAGCGAATAGGTACACGTATTTTCTGATAGTTGACTATACTTGTTCACACAGACTAGAATCTACTACGACAATCGGCGGTGATGCCGTCCATGTCACCCTGATCCCAGGTTGTATCTGTAATGACCAAGATTTTTAGTCCAAACACTTAGTTCAAACATGGCATAGGCTTCCTTGCAATAAAACAATGACAAGCGATCATGTGGTATCGGGCCATGGAGCTATCCATGCGCCATTAATGGAGTTGAGAAACAGTCACTTGTATACCAGGCTTCCCCGGAAATGCAAGTCCCACTATCATCGCAACATCCAAGTAGACAAAACCTACTCTTCCAGCAACTCTTTGGTAGAACCATTTCATATCATGTAGGGGCCAGCACCAAACAGTCGCAATGGCCATTTGCCGGTGACGTCGTACGCCAACTTCCAAAACCTGTTACTGTGTATATACTGAAAGACGGTCGAGAGCAGTCAGCATGAGGCCCTGCACGGGGCGCCATTGGGCATCCGCGGCCGCTAACTGTGCTGTCGTCGACTACCCGTACGCACATATATACACATGTACATACATCCTCCCGTAGGATTACCGCTGCATCGCCAAGCGAGGCTCGATCCTGCTATTCCCGCAGCGTGGAAGCCCTTGAATCTAGATAGTGTATATCGGCTTAAGATAGTATCCCACTCGGCACGGTTTGGTTGCTAAACCACCCCACGCCGATCTCAGTTCCCGAGGCCTTCAAAAGCCGACTCCGGTTCGAAGCCAAGGATGGGTGCAAATTTCTGCAAAAGCGGGTGTGGGGTCGATGCATCTTGAGCCACAGATAGAATACTATTGGGTGTCAAATCTGGGCAATAGGACAAAAAATGTCGGATGCGGGCATAGTATGTAGGTAAAGCTGTGGTATCCGTCGTCGGTGACGCATAGTTTGTCATTCGCTGGTGCCGGAGTCGCGGCCGTGGCGGCTAACTTGGCGGGATCGGCTTAGCGCTACGCCCATGGCGCTGCTCTCGCATACGCGATGCTAGTGGCTTCGCTCACGCCTGTGTCGAGATTTCTGACGTGCACCTATTGCTTGAGAGGAAATGTGGCATGATGGGACGATAGTGATCGGGGCAAGATGGTTAACAGGCTGACAATTGAGTCGGCGCGCCGGAACGAGGCGTTAAGAGAAGCCGGATAGCGGATGGTCGGACTAAGCGTCATGGTTTCTCTTCCCACAACGGGTATGCCGCAATCACATAATGCATGCACTGGAAGACGGCTGCAACCAAACTTGGCAGGGCACTCATGTCCGCGGCTCCATAGCGCCATAAAGCGAGAAACAGTCGGAAGTGGAGAAGTGGCTATTCATGTGCCGTCGCTGCTGTGCAAGTGCTCGAGACATTGCCAGGCCAGCTCCACGCACAACCGTATGCGTACTGCAGAAATCTTTTCCGCAAAAGCACTAGATGGCTTTTTGCGTCCAAACTTTGCGGCAAAACGTAAGAGACGCAGGCTTAGGGCCCAGATCACATGAGTGGCTTGCTGTTTACGAGCGGTAGCAGGTCCTCGAAAAAAAATGCTGCAGACAGTCAGCGACAGGGAGGGTGCAATTCGCGCGCGAGAGCGAGAGCGAGAGAGGGGTCGAATCCCATGTACCAAGTACATTCAGCGACCACTTTATACCAGAGCCACTCATGTGCCCGTCTCTTAGGCCCGTTATACTGGTTCTCATGCCGTTGAGTCCCCAATCACACCATCGGCGTGCTGGATTGAGTAAAACTGCCCGTCTCAAAACAGACTGGTAGGCCACGGCGGTCCCGCTTCGTGACGATGGCGTGCAGGGGGCCAAAGGGCCAGATCGGGTACGCCACTTGCTAGCGAGCCGTAGGCGCAGGCTGTGTGTTACAGCTGAGGGGGTTTGTACGGGTCGACAAGTGGTGCCGCGGGACGCAAGCCTATTCGCGGGCTTGCAACAACGAGCCACTTAGAGTACCGTGCACACAACGGTTTCTGTTGCGTCTGGGTGTTGTTTTTTGCTAGTACTCTTGCATTCATTGTCATGTATACGTAGAACAGTAGCAAGATGCAAAACATACTTGCCTGTCCAAGGCTGTTTACTCTGTCCTGTCAGTCTAAGGGGCAGAGCATGCTGTCATGGAGTATGCACTCTTCTGCAGCAACACGTAAGCAAGCTGGTGCTTTGGCACTCCATTTGCCGAGTCTCTGATCTGACGTCTACCCACATGGTAGGGGTCAGAAGGGGGCGTTCTGCAATGGAGCGTGTCACGCATCTGAGGACATGTGCGGCACGTTGCAACGCCCTGTCAACGGTCTTGAGCATGGCCTGGATGGAGTTGCCTAATGGATCTTTTGTCGACTACTGGCATGCTTCACAACATGTCACAGTCCATGACACAGCATATTTCTGCCCAGTTGGTACGCAGGCCACCAGCTTTGGTGAAACTGTTTTGGCCGTTTGTGCCAGTGTCTCCCCCATCATGTTGCCACCCCAAGACTGATCGGTATACCCAAGCACGCTAGGCATGCAAAATCCTCGACGGCTCTATATGTATGTATGTATGTACATATGTACGCAACATGGGCATAGGTATATAAGTAGATAGGTGAGTTATAGCTTCGTATATAGTATACCGCTACGTGCCTGTAGGAAATTCTCCGAGACAGCTGTCATTTGTCGGGTTGGCGCTGGCCTTGTGAATGACTTGCAGCAGCCGGTTGAAGGCTTCCGGAGTGGCAGGATGAGGAAGCGGTATCATGTCGAATCAAACAAAGACCATATGTGATGGAAAGCTACCAGGTCGGGATGCGAGACAATCGCTGCTGTACTGCGTGTCATCCTTCCACGGCCGCATAGACAGGTCAATTGTCGCGCGGCATCGTGTGTGGCTGACTGTGCATATATGCATATCCTGTATCCATGGACGGTTCATGCGACCATAGCCGTCGTTGTCGTCGACATTGTGCGGTTTGCAGTTTCGTAGTTTGCAATTTTGCGATGAGCCATGGTTGACCGGCCAAGGCAAGAATACTCGAAGCGCCATGTTATCAATGAACTATCTACGCGACGGCAAAGCTTGGCAGCGATAGTAGGATACTAGCTACCGACGTTGACCCACTATCTAGAGGTCAACGAGGCCTCCAATCTTGGTCTGCACACGCACGGGATATCTCACCATGTGGAGGCGGGCGAATCAAACTTTGGGACATGTTCACGCAGAAGCGAGCATGGTGGTAGTCGTGTGGCCCGCTTTGCAAAAGACGTACGAGGGCGGTTGATTATGCCCATACGCGGCATAGTGTAATTGCTCTCGACGTATAATTGCCTCTTGCTATAGCTCGACTTTTTTAATCGGGCCTCTACGCTGGCCAAAGTGCTGGAGCAAGTCATAGTTTGCGGCGCCTGAGCAGCATGCCGCAAAGGGAATCCATGTCTTGAAGTAGCAGTCGGTCGGTGGTAGACGCCGACAAGGGCCCAATGAGCATTTGGCCGCACAAGGCACGGTCGATCAAAAAAGCATGACCCAAGAAATGGAATCGAGTCGACTGCTGGGATTCCGAAAATCCCAGCGGTGAGCGTTGACAGGCGAGCGGAAGCGGGGACTGGATCTGAGGGATTGGGCATAGGCGCCGATAGACGGACAGAGAGTAAGTTCCTGTTACGAATGGGATCGAGGCCGTCAGACACATTGAAACCAGAGAGTCGCGATGCAAAGTTTATCAGGCCGACAGACAGGCATAAGACGGGAAGCGTGCAGGAGGAACGCTGGCGGCACAGGACGGGACAGGCGAGGCTCATGCTGGGAAGGGGGAGGGAACGGACGGGACAATGGGTGTGGGCGGATGTGTCCATGTCTGTTCTGCTGTCCTGTCGCGTCGCATCGCATCTGCAGCCCTGGAAAGCGTCTGCCACTGCCACTGCCACCATGGCACACAATACGAGGGCGACTGGAGCCGTGTGGACAGGCGGGCAGAGGCCTTGGCTTGGCTCGGTTTGCCGGATGGGCCTCCGCGCTCAGCCAAGTCGTAGGCTGGCGTGGATCGGAGGCGTGCATGGCCGGCCGGCCTCGACGCAGTGGCATGCCATGATTCGCATGCCGGGGTGGGTGTGCAGGGCCTGCAGAGGCGACGCAGTGTCTTGATTGTGGGCGCCGAGAGGCACAGTGACACGGGCAACCGACAGCAGCCGCCCTAGGCTTGCCTTGCCTCTGCCTCGTTGTCGCGCGCCCGTTCCCTAGCATGGAGGTGGGTGGGCAGGGCAGGGAACAAGGAAGAATCTGCAGCTAGCAGCCCATGGGCGGGGGTGGTCGGGGGCCGTGGGCACAGAGGTTCAGGTACATCTCCCGCGGTGGAGCGCATGAGTTTCGCAATCAAACAAGTGCGAGTCGACGGAGGAGCATGGCGCTGGGCCCCTTTGGGGGAGGCTGCGGGCGCTGGTGTTGGTGATGGTGTGTGTGTGAGGTGTAAGTGTTTAGGTGGTGGTGGTGTGGTGGGCGTTGGCGTGCGGGTCGAGATGAGAGAAAAAATAATAATCGAGGCATAATAATACGGAGTTTGATTGTATGTACTATGTACGAATGTGTGGATGTACGTGTGGATGTACGTACGCCTGTATGTAAGTAGTATGTATGTATGTATGTATGTATGTATTGTATGGATATGATGTGTATGTGTGTGTGTGTCTGGATAGATGGATGGCTGGATGGATGGGTCAATGGACTGGACACGGCGCGGGGCCCAATCCTCTGGCGCCCCGGCGCGCGGTGGACCGGCACAGCCAAACCGGGCGGCCACGCTGCAGACGGTGATTCCATGTCGCTATACTACACACATACGGCCGTGGCCAGCTCTCGGTGGTGTCGTTCGCAGCGCAGGGATTGCTGACGTTGGCTCTACTGCGGCGAACATCAGTGGGGTGCTGCGCTGCTAAGAGAAATAATTAGTAGCCTTCACTCCATCATAATCCACTCTTTTCCCTCGCCCGTCGCTCTTGCCCTCGCCTTCCTCCACACCCCGCCAACACCTACCACCCCGACACTGCTCACCCTCTTCCCCCCTCCCCATCCACCCCCATCTCTCGTGCCGCCGTCTCGAACGTGCATCACCACCCTCTGTCCCTCGACGACGCTCAGTCCTGCCCCTGACGCATCCCCCGCCTGCCGACAACAGCGGTGCGCAGCTTGGCTCGCGCCCCCGCCTGATTGGACGATAGCCGGACGGGCCCCATCACCCTCCTACTCTCTGCCTGCTGGCCTGCTCTCCCTTGGTTCTGCTCCCAGACCCCTCACCAGCAGAGGCCACCGCCCATTGGCGACCAGCATTCGCCCGCCCACAACTTATAGTCCCTCACTGTCGCTTCTCTTGACCCACGGGTGTCTCTGACTTTGCATCTTGCTCAACTGCACCTGTCCACCTTCGTTTATCTCCGTCGATCCCCGCGGGACCCTCATCCGGCCCACTATTTCCCACCACGCCTCTCTGCTCTGTCCTGTCCTGCCCTGCCTTGCCCTGCCCTGCCGGCAATGGACACAATGAACTCCTTCACCTCCTTTGTCAACCCCCAGGACCTAGAGAACCACGGCGCCGGCGACTTCCAGGACTCGTTCTGGCAGATGCGCATCGACCCTACTGGCTTCCCCCAGCCCTACGATGCCACCGTCATGACCTCGACCGCCGACCGCACCAGCAGGAAACAGGACTCGGCCCTTGACCTCACCTCCTTCTCCAACCAGGCCTACCCATGCATCCGCCCAGAAGACGACTTCACCACCTTTGTCAACACGGCCCAATCAACCCCAACATCCAACACGCCCTCACCCCACGAGACCTTCATCTTCAGCAATGCCAATTCGCCCGGCGACTTCAACCGGGAACAGAGTCAGACCAGCTCACCCGAAACGTGTGCTGACTCCCTGCCCACTGACATCTGGCCTGCTATCCACAGTCCTCAGCCAATCAAGCAGTCGACAGTCTCCATTGCACTCGACAAGAACAAGAACCGTGCTGAAACACAAATCAAGACTACTGTCACCATGGATCCCCTCTCCCCCCACTACCAATGGATACGCTTTCCCCGTCAAAATCTTGCAAAGCCAAAGCAAATGGCTAGCACTGAAGAAGTAGAGGCAAACGAAAAGAACAACAGCACCACCCGCTTACAGCTGACTCTAGTCTTGGCAACTGCCGTTGACAAGCCAGAAGGCCTGGAGCGTGCCTTCCGTCGCGCACGGGGCGATGAGCCAACCCCGCGTCGCCCGCGTGGAGTCGCCATTACTGACATTGCCAAAGATGACCGATGCCACCCTCAGAACGGCGGCGCAGTTATCATCTGCGAGGGCTGCAAAGAGCGTGAGGCCAAGAGGTTCAACCGCAAGAAGAAGCGGGAAGCAGACGATGAGAAGGAGTGGTCGAGCTACGAAGATGACCGCATCATCATGATCAACGAGAAGGAGTTCAAGAGGTGGCAGGACAACGACAGCCCTGACTTCTCTTCCGCTGCGAAGAAGGTTGAGTTCGTCATGCGAATCACATGCTACTGCAGGCATCAAGAAGACAAGTCGCCAGTTGGCTACCGCGTTATTTTTACTTTCAAGGACGCTAATGATCACTTGCTCGCTCAAGAGATCTCTGAGATTGTTCAAATCACAGACGACCACAAGAACAAAGAGAACCCATCAGAGACTCTAAGCGCCCTGACCATCCCCACAGGTCCCCATGAGGCCATGCCTATGCAGTATGCAGTCCCCATATCAGAATACTCTCCTACTGTCTGCAGTAGCCAGTACTCGCTACCCACTACCCCCATTGTTCCCCAGACACCAGGCTTGCCCCATTCTCAGAGTGTCTTCTTTCCACGAGAAGCACAGTACTCTCGAATGATGGGCTCTACTATGGCCGCCCAGGCATCCAACCAAACTGGTATGGGTTTCTACGGCACTGGCATGCCTGCACCCCCACCGACGCAGCAATACGCCAACCACCAACGGGGACAAAGCTACTTCCCACCAACCATGCTGAGCCCGACAGCAGAACAGATACCTAGCCAGAACGGCTACGCGCTTCAGCGTCCTCACTCGTTGGATAGCTTCCCACAGACGTTCAACTTTCAGTTCCCGGCACAACCATCATACCCGCAAATGTACTCGTCCCAGCCACCATCTCGGGCCACGTCGCGACCAGCATCGCCAACATGGGATCAAGGAAGGGGCGCCAAAAAGATGCGTGCCCAGCCGGGATTCATGTTGTATGAAGATTTCGAAGAGTGAAATCTCCATGACACGAAAGTACGAATTATGAACACACCTAAAAAAACAACCTAGCAATATGCATAGCAGGCATTATGAGCGGCGTTCAAGGCATGTATTGTAATAGTGGGTGATGGATTTGGGAGGAGCATTGGGTCATTACGGAACAGCTCCGCGTGTATTCTTTGGCACGCTTCTATTCATCGGCACTTGTGGCACCATGGGCTTCGGCCAAATTGGTCCTGGGAAGATGTGTTTTGACCAATGAGGTCCTTCACACTTACGTTTTCAACATGACTGCCCAGAATGCTCGTTTTTTTTCGATTTGGGAGAGGCTTACGGATTGAGAGCCATAGATTTGTCGCGGTATTTTTTTTTTCCTTGTTGGATACTACGACTTTAATTTTTAGACTAACACCCTTTTTTTGTTCCAAATTCTATACATTGGTTGTTGTTTCCCTTCGCAGGGACAATAACAGATTTGATATATTGTCACCTTGAAGTGTGTATGAGCGCTTGCGCCTTTCAGCTGTCCACGTCCGTCGCACCTTCCCTTCCCAGTCCCACGACGCACATCGTCCCACATGCAGGCGTGCGCATCTGTTTCGCCGAAGAGCGAGCGGCTTCGTTCGTGGGGCCCAACAACACCCCTTGTCTGTGCATTGTCCATAGTAGTCAGTCACATCATCCGCACACTCTTCTCGCGCTTGCGCAATCCAATCTGTCTGCATCAGCCAGCCCGTCTGCGTCCGTTCCCCCTCCCATGAAGCGGCGTTTAGTCAGTCGATTCAGTAAGACGGACCCCATTCTTTTCCTTCCCGGACTGTTCCGTTTGCGCTGTTTTACCACTATCAGCAAAGAGGTCGATCGTCCCTGTAACTAAGTGCGTATGCCTCACTCTTGTCTCTTTTCTTTCTCTCCGCACGCCTCACTTTGCATACATACCATCCTGGAGAGAGAAAGAAAGAAAGAAAGAAAGAAAGAAAGAAAGAAAGAGGTGTAAGCAACATACGTTAACTTATCAAACTAACTCTGACACCTCCTCCCCTCTTTCTTCCTTGTCCACCCCCAAGACCAACTCAAAATATACACGTGCAAACTCTAGCTACCTGGCCTACCTAGCCCCGCTAGCTACATAAGCGTCGTTTCTCGCTGCCTTTACCCCTCTCTCTGCTTCCCCGCCCTCATATACATTCATCACATGACCAGTCTAATCCTAGAGGCGCTTATTACACGTTTCTCACCCATAGGCAACTTCGCGTACGCTGTTTATTGCGGAATAAAGGTCATTGTCTTCCCCCCCCCCTCCCACCTCCCATCTCGACGCTTGAAAGCAATCGATTGGGCGGCGCAAACGGGGGCCGAGAGAAGGGAATTAGGGTTTGAGGAGGGGACCTGTGGGAAGTACCGGTCGGTTGTAAGTACTTTGCATAGGCGCAACAGTCATTTATGTATGACCGGAGATTTGTACTTGATGGGGATAATATGTTTCTGCGGGGAGAAGGTTAGGGTTTGGGATGCAAGTATGCAGATGTGTGAGTGACGTAAGTTTTTAGGGAGTGAGATATGGTTGCCGAATTTGATTTGAGTTGGAACTTTCTTGGGAAGCTCGAGACGAGCAGTTGTATCAAAAGGGGGGGGGGGGGTAAGACGGGAGGGAGGGACGGCGAAGGTATGAGATGAAGAGTGGAACGGGAGTTCAAGAGTTGGTAACACAGAGTATGAAACTGGCGTGGGTGATATATATATATATATACATATATTTATCTGATGAACTTTCCCATATCTCTCATATTTGACCAGGCAGAATAGTAACTCCTAGTAGCTGATTCCAAAACGATTTCCGGTATCCACCAATGCAAACAATGGACTCGCTGATACATAACGGCGTGAAAAAGCTTTGCAAAAAAACCCTATCCAATGAGAAAAATCGACAAGAAAAATAAACATGAACAAAAAGACGGAAAACAGTGTTGGAAACCCATGTTAGAAAACCTAAGGAACCGTGATGGAGAAGGTCTGACGACTACTACAACGACTCACCACACCTCACACCACTCGCGAAGCCGAAACACTTGGCTTTTCCTACCCGGAGTGCTGGCAACGGGCCGAAGCCGCTTGGTCTTATCGGAAGGAAAGTAGATCGACTATAACAGCATGCATGGTTCCAAGTATGCGCCATGCACGGCA